AATATATGACTAATATGTTAATTAATTATATATAATTATATAAAATAAATATATAATAATATGTGATATAATAAACATTATTAATTCCTTTTTGAAAGTTGGTGGTAGATAAAAGCAATAAACTCAACAACTATTGAATACTTACTTCTTACGTTAAGTGAAACAGACAGGTATGGCTTCAAGGAATTGGAGGAAAAAAAAAAAAACTTTCTCAGAAATCCCTAGGAAATGCTTTGTTCAAATATAGAATAAAGGAAAATAATATATGTATTTTGCTAAAGCATGTACACTGCACATTTGTTCTTTTATTGCTCAAGTCCTCATTAGGATAGATCACCATTATCAAAGCCTCGATGTTTTCCAGAGCTGTTTTGTTTTCTTCAGATTTAAAATCCAGGGCTAGAAGCTGGGTCTCAGTTAATCTTTGAGATAAGTGCATATCCAGTCCAGCCGTTTCTGTTCTTAGATGTCTACAGAGAGCTGTGAAGATGGTCTTCTGTGAGAACACACTGCTCTCGGGCCTTTCAACTTCACTCAGGGGACTAGCTGGCATGTGTGAGATGACAAAAGGTTGCCCAGGGAGCCTTTGAAAAAGATGATAGGTACTATAAAATGATTTTGAAAAGAGAAGGCATCCCTGCTTTAGTCTAAAAGGAAAGAAAGCCTTTTTCAGTTGTTCATATTGTTCTTTTATGAAGAACACTCTTATTCTTTGTGCAACTTTTAAACAAACACTGAGTCCCTTGAATGTTCACACTACTACATAAAGGCTTAGAAGGTTGTAAATACAGCGGTAGTCCATTCAGTAAGTGGTGAGCTGATAGCATTCTTTATAAAAACATTGGAATTCACACATTTTAAAATGTAAATTCAATGTATCTTTTCCCATGACCTGACTAAAAAACTAGGTTCGTGAATTATTCTGCCCTAGATATGTCATCCCCTGCCCTGTGAGAGAGAATACAGTTATTGCCTGAATTTTTCTGGGACCGATTACCCTTTAACTAACTGAATGTCCTTGTCTTTCCCTTCTAACTGATGGCCTTTTGCTTATCTTACTGCTTATTAGCACTTTTATTGTGAGTGATACACAGAATAATGCTCTCCCCCCACCACAGCAAAGATGTACGCATCCTAATCCCCACAACCTATGAATATGTTACATTACATGGCAAAAGGAAATTAGGTTGCAGATTGAATTAAATCTGTTAATCATTTTACCTTGAAATGGGAAGATTATCTTGGATTATCTCAGTTGCCCCAGTGTATTCACAAAGGTCCTTAAATATAGAAGAGTGATGCGACACGACAGACACGTGACCACTTTCCTGGCTCTGAGGTAGAGGAGGGCCCCCACCACCACCCTGAGCCTGGGAATGGGGAGCCTGGAAACGGGGAAACTTCTAAAGGCTGGGAAAGCCAAAAAAACCTGTTTTCCCTTGAGCTTCCAGAAAGGATTGTCCTCCTGACAACTTTTATTTTTGACACCCAGTGAAATTCTTGTCAGATTTCTGGCTTACAGAAGAACTGTTAGACAGTATATTTTGGTTTATTTAAGCCACTAACCTAGTGGTCATTTGTTATGGCCACAATAAAAATGAGCAAATTTACCAATATTCCAAGAAAGGAAGAATGAAGGTTAAACTCGAGGTACTCCATCTAGGAGAAGATCTGGAGTATGTTGAAGTTGTAGTGCTTCAACAAGGAGATAAAAGGCCATCAGTGAATTTCAGCACCCTGCCCGCATGGCTTTCCATTAATGCAGAAAATTTTCGGGAGCCTGTTGCCAGTGTAATGACCTGAAATACACTTCAGAACAATACACCTTTGTTTCTGTCAGCCTCGAGACTGCCTATTTGGCTCTCATTGGAGTGAGCTTTTCATGGACAGATTTAATTATGTTATTTCTCTTTAAGTCCATTTTATGATTTTTCATTGTCTAGAGAAAAAAGCCCACACATACAGTTTGGCAGTCAAGGTCCCTCGACAACAGAAGCTTTTGCTACAGCCTGTGTAATACTTCTCTCTCTCACACACTCGTGTTAACCAAGGTAAAGTACTTACGTTCTGTGAATCTGGCTTAGTGTTTTGTACTTTTATTCTTTCTACATTTCATTTTCTCTACCAGCAGTGTCCTCCCAGATCTTCACACCTGCTGGCAATCCCCTATGAATTCTTTGAGATGCAAATGAAACATTAAATTCCCTGGAAACTCAAGGAACATACCACATCAAATAAAATTTTTTTATTATTTTATTTTATTTTTTTCAGTGTTCCAAGATTCATTGTTTATGCACCATACCCAGTGCTCCATGCAATGGTGCCCTCCTTAATACCCACCACCAGGATCACCCAACCCCCCACTCCCTCCCCTCCAAAACCCACAGTTTGTTTCTCAGAGTCCACAGTCTCTCATGTTCGTCTCCCCCTCCAATTTCCCCCAACTCACTTCTCCTTGCCATCTCCCCATGTCCTCTGTGTTATTCCTTACGCTCCACAAGTAAGTGAAACCATATGATAATTAACTCTCTCTGCTTGACTTATTTCACTCAACATAATCTGCTCCAGTCCCATCTATGGGATGTTGATGCAAAAGTTGGGTATTCATCCTTTCTGGTGGCTGAGTAATACTCCACATCAAATAAAAGTGTTTGGTCTATCCTTTATGCCACTGTATACTTTGTGATTTAAAAATTATTTCCATTTCATTCTGTTTCATTCTGTGAGTTTCTTGAACATAGCAAGTAGGTCTAATAATATATTTGTGGGATCTTAGTAACTCACATAGCTTATACAGTAGGTACTCAGTAGATAAATATGAAGTGAAAAAATGATTATGTTACCTGACCTGGCCAGCCTACCACAGAGATACCATTAGAACTCAAATTTCAGATTCCCAGGCCAGTCTTCCATTATATTCTGCCAATTAAACCTAAAGTACTACCAAAAAAAAAAATTTTTTTTTAATACCCAGGGAACATTTTCATTCTAAGTAAAATTTTGACACTGACCAACTTATTTTAATACCATTTCCCCTTTTTTTAATCCCTTAATTTAACACTTGGAATTTCATGATTTTGTTGTATCAAAATGAAAACATGAAAATAGTTTCTCTGTCTTGTTTAGTTTTTTCCCATGGATGTGTTTGCAAGAATTATTTTGTGTGTTGGGGCACCTGGGTGGCTCAATCAGTTAAGCATCTGTCTACGGCTTAGGTCATGATCTCAGGGTCCTGGGATCAAGCCCTTCATTGGGTTTCATGCTCAGCATAGTCTGTTTCTCCCTTTCCTTCCCCCTCATACTTGCTCTCTCAAATAAATAAATAAAATATTTTTTAAAAGAAAAAAGAAAAAACATATTTTGTGTGATGAATCTGTATTATTTATTTATTCATTTATTTAAATATTATGAAAATATTGAGAAGACTGAAATGTAAACGAATAGCATGGCAAGTACCAAATTCCTTTGATTTTAAATACTTGAATTTTTCTCTAAGCACTTCTGTTTTCTGCCTTTTTAAATTTGTTGCTGGTGTTTATTTCTCAGTGGCTACATGTAGGTCTGACCTTGCTGCACAAGTCTTTATGAAATTGAAAGTCTGTGTGATAGAACTTGGAAACTGTAAACACTATTTAGATGGAATGAATTATTTTCATAACTTTTATTATCACTTTACACTGTTTACTGCAAAATGTCCACAATTTTCATGATGACGGGAGTAATTCCACTGGGAATTTTTCTTTTTTACAACTGCTGTCAGAATTCAGAATCTTAAAATGGTTGGCATAATTTTTAGTGTGATCAGTAAAACTCATCCTTCATGTCACATAATAATTTATAAGTTTGGTTTACTACTTTTAAAAAGGAAAACACTATTTATTAAGATGAATGAGTACATTGGTGTTATTGCTTTACATAAGAAGATCATTAATTTAGTAAATAGAGGCCATTGATAAATCATTGAAACGTAAATGTATTTAAAAAAGATTTTTTTTAAATATTATGAAAATGTTGGTAAATATTTAGAAACTGTAGATCATTACTCTAGACATATCCAGCTTGATTGAACATTGCTTAGATGCCCACTATTTGATTTGGGTTGGATAGGTAACGTGTTTTAGAATGGCTCAGAAGGTAGGCAGACCCGTGTTTCCGAATGTGTCTTCACGATTTGAATTCTGTCACATTTCATGGGTGACTCACCAGGAGTATTTTGCTTTCTTTGTTAAGGACAGCTTCAAAGTAATCTTCTGATTTAGCTACTGATATTTTCATCAGAAAAGAAATGTTCTGTAGGAAACCTGTCTTCTTTAAATGTATCAAGAGGTGTCTCCTATTGTGCATCAATAAATTGGCATTATGGTTTTTTAGAGCTAGTCTCAGTGAATCCATTTAGAACAAAAATGAGTCTATAGAGCCTAATCATGTAGATTGTGCTAAAGACTTAACCTCTCCAAAGACTATGCTTTTCCAGAAAACACAAAACCATTCTCATGTACATCAGGCCAGTTTTTCATCTCCTTACAAAATGCCAGATGATACATTCTTACTTCCTTCTACTGGATTTCTGCCATTAAATCACACTTTCCTTATTATATGCAACATCTTTTTATTCTTTTAAGTATATAAATTTGCCATGTATGGAGACTTCTAATTCGTTCCATGGACTTGGCGCTTATCCTTGATTAGTATAGTGGTCTTACTGAAACAACCAGCTGCCACTATCCCTAGCTGTGGAGTACCTTTCCCTTCTAAAGCCTTCAGCCTTCTCTCCCCTTGCTTGAGGATCTTTTCTTGATTATACAAAATTCAAAACAAATTTATCTGAACAGAATCCCTGTATGGTGATCCTCTGAGCACTTTGCATGAATTCCCATGCTAACTTGATGCCATTACTATAGCTACTCATGGTTGTTTTAGGTTTACCGTATCTTTCTACATGAACAGTTCTTTTTCTTTGAATAACTATCAGCAACAATTGTTTGATTCTTTGCTCACAGGTACTACAGTGCCACCATTCTGCAGATGTCTGGTGTTGAAGATGACAGACTTGCGATATGGCTGGCTTCGGTGACAGCCTTCACAAATTTCATATTCACGCTCGTGGGGGTCTGGCTTGTCGAGAAAGTTGGCCGCAGGAAGCTTACCTTTGGCAGCTTAGCAGGTAGGTGACTGGATGAAGAAGTCAATTATAAACTTTTCTCTAGTGATGACAAGTTCACCTTCTAAAATACAATACTGGTACCACTTATGATCTTGTTCTCTTAGCCATATAATAGGGTTCGTCTAGACAAAAAGAACTCTTTTTTAAAGAGTTTTTTAAAAAGAACTCTATGTTATGATATGTAACTAGAATGTGACTAGAAACTGGAGTTGTAAGAACAATTTGAATCTACCAAGGGTAACATTCCGCTGCTCTTATTTTTGAGTTCTGCTTAAAGGTACAAAAGTGAAAAGAATAATTGGTTTTTGTTCCTCTTTGAAAAATTTGATATTAATAAACTCACTTTTTAACGTGTTTTATTTTTAGGTTCAGTATAATATGGAAGTAAATTTGGAGCATTTTTTTTTTCAAAGCTCCTTGAACAGTAGAACATTGACAGTGTAGAATTTCTCCACAAAGCGAGAAATTCTTTTTCTCAAATTCAGGCTCAAATTTAAGGTAAATTCAGGTTGGTTAAGTCTGTTTTCTGTAATAGCTAAATAAGACAAAACTTTTCTCACTTTCAAGTATCTTTTGTCTTTGGATTCTGACCTTTCATTATTTTTTCTCTGTTTTGCTTGACAGACTGAGACCCACATTTGCCATTGTCCTCACCTGTTGCGCCATATAATTTTGTCTTTTCCATATATACAGATTCCTAATTATCAATTAGCTGTCTTCTAATAGCTCCTTTATAAGTTTAATTAGAATAAGAATACATTTTTCCATTAAAATGTAAAGTTTCCAGACTGGCATGAACTAAATTCTATTTTGACCAAATTATACCTTAAAACCCTCATCTAATAGCAGTGCTCCCAGCATTTGTCCCAGATTTTAATGAGAAAATACATTCTGAGATCCAAACTCAGTTATTTGGAATACATAGTCTCTCCCACCCCTCCCTCCAGAAAGAAGGAAGAGTGGAATGTTCCACCCTGTATTTTTTTTTTTTAAGATTTTATTTATTTATTTGACAGAGAGATCACAAGTAGGCAGAGAGGCAGGCGGGGGGGGGGAGGGCGCGGTGGGGAAGCAGGCTCCCTGCTGAGCAGAGAGGCCGATACGGGACTCGATCCCAGGACCCTGAGATCGTGACCTGATCCAAAGGCAGATTAACCCACTAAGCCACCCAGGCGCCCCCCCCACCCTGAATTCTTGCCTAAGCAGTGGAAGGACTTGAGTCTGATAATATGAGCTGAACTGAGGGGAAGGTGAGCAGAGACTGTCTGATTAAGAGGCAGAGGTAATTGCAGTACCCAACATACACAGAGAAGCAGAAGGGTAAATGATGGAAGGTGAGGGACAAGGAGGCTAAAAACCATTCGTTCATAAACTTGCTGAAACCAAAAGTGTTTAGTCTGGAAAGAAAAAAGACTAAAGCATTACCCAGTAGATACCTTATTCTAGCAGATGGTAGATGTTACGAGGGCATAATTTTTACTCAATATGGAGAATATAGTTTTAATAATCAGAACTATCCAACAATAAATTGGGCTGCCTTATTAGGATGGTAAACTCTGAATAAAAGGATAGTTGACAATCAGGTAGTGATGTACCAAAAATAAATTCCTGTAGTTGGCTAGAAATTGGGTTTGCAGAGCCCTGAGGTTCGGATCAACCCTAAGAAGAGGTAGCAGCTGCTTCAAACTTTTTAAATGGGTACCTACTCTTCCTTTTGAATGGGGCCTCTGGATATTGCTCCCTCAAGAGGTCTTATTTTTTTAAATAGGATGTCAGGTCTTCTTAAATTTGGGATTTGTCTTTTGAGATCTGAGGAAAACATTTTTTTTTTTTTCCTAGCGGCCTAATCCCTTTATTTGTTGTATTCCAAAAGACGGTTTCTCATCAATTCTGAAGGTTTTTAAGGCACTGCAGTCTAGAGCCTTCCTGCTTGGGTTTGAATTTTCTGTCTTCAGGCAGGCTTCCATTTTCTCATTAGTAAAAAGCATTCTAGTCTGCACTTCATAGGGTCATAAAGAGGATTGAACACATTTATACACACAGAGCATTTATTTTTTTTTAAAGATTTTTATTTATTTATTTGATAGAGATCACATGTAGGCAGAGAGGCAGGCAGAGACAGGAAGGGAAGCAGACTCCCTTTCGAGCAGAGAGCCCGGCATGGGGCTCGATCCCAGGACCCTGGGATCATGACCCGAGCTGAAGGTAGAGGCTTTAACGCACTGAGCCACCCAGGCACCCCCACACAGAGCATTTAAAGCTTTTCCTGACACCGATCACAAGATGCCTCGCACATCTTACCTCCCACAGCATTCTTACTGATGGTCTGGTTCTTTGTCGTTTTTTGTTTGTTTGTTTAAGATTTTATTTATTTATTTGAGAGAGAGAGTATGAGAAGGGGGAGGGTCAGAGGGAGAAGCAGACTCCCTGCCAAGCAGGGAGCCCGATGTGGGACTCGATCCCAGGACTCCAGGATCATGACCTGAGCCGAAGGCAGTCGCTTAACCAACTGAGCCACCCAGGTGCCCGTGGTTCTTTGTCGTTTTAACCCTAGTGTGAAATCAGCTTGCATCCCCAGAATCCGGGAACGTGCCTGAACTCTTCCAGCCAATGTCGTGTTTCACTTCGCAGTGTAGGTACTCTGCTCCAAGGATTTCCAGAGCCCATCCCTGGCTATTAAAAGAAAGTATTAAGACAATTACCTGGGAGGACAGTACCCAGAAAGTTCAGGGACTGCTTTTTATGAGCAGCTGGAGGCACTTTTCTCTCCTGCCTTGTTTTCTTTTCAGCCCAAACCACCAGCACCCCAGCTGCGCACCCTGCTAAAGCCATGCAGTGATTGCTCTAGCATGAAAGAGGTCTTCCGTCTTGTAGACACAAGAGTTCCTCTTTATGTAGCCAATTAAAGTGATGATGTAGCTATTACAGTGGTGTAGGAGGGGAAAGGCCTAGTTTCTTGTCACAAGTCTCCTCGTTTACGTGTACGTGGAGGTGTAAATACAGCTCTTGATGCACGTCTGGTTTTTAACTGATTTAAATGTAGTAGACCGTAATGACCCAGTAGACCGTAATGACCAATGAAAGTTACACATTCAGTAGAAAACATACTGTTCAACAGTGGATTAGTATTACCCTTACAGATGTTCATTTCACTTTCTGATGTCAGTTGATTCTGGGTTAGTTATATATTTATTTCAATGTTTTTGTTTTTGTGTAGGTATCAATATTATGCTAGTGCTATAAGTTCTGTTGAAAATTTTCTCAAAAGCCTTTGATCCAGTTTTGTCCCCCTTTTTATGTTTTTATTATGATTTATGATACTGGGGTAAATTATTGGGAAAAGTCATATCAAAATAATTTTTTTTAAAGATTTTATTTATTTATTTGACAGAGATCACAAGTAGACAGAGAGGCAGGCAGAGAGAGAGAGAGAGAGGGAAGCAGGCTCCCCGCTGAGCAGAGAGCCCGATGCGGGACTCGATCCCAGGACCCTGAGATCATGACCTGAGCCGAAGGCAGCGGCTTAGCCCACTGAGCCACCCAGGCGCCCCTCAAAATAATTTTTGAATAGGTAGTCATTCTTTAAAAATTACTGCACATAAACTATGCATATGTAGACCTGAACAAAAGCACTCTTTATACAAAGAAACATAAAACATATCATCCATGAATAATTTTAAATGGAAGACATTCTGTGGTGTTCTGACTTTTGATAATTTTTTGAGGATTTACTTATTTATTTGAGAGAAAAAGCGCATAGCAGAGAGAGCTGGAGGAGGGGCAGAGGGAGAAGGAGAGAATCTCAAGCAGACCCCCGACTGAGCAGGGAACCCGTCACAGGGCTCCATCCCATGACCCTGAGATCACTACCTGAGCCAAAGTCAAGAGTCAGATGCTTAACCACCTGAGCCACCCAGATGCCCCAGTGATTTTTAATATTTTTAAAGCTTGCTCAGAGAACTGATCTGTCTCATAAACATTACATATGTAAAGACAACCTCTTGATTCTTTTAATAGAATAAGGTCTGCATCTACATAGGTTTATTGTAACTAATCAGAAAGGCAGAACACTATGTTCTTTTTCCCCAAATATCTTGGTATTAGAATATTTCTGAGCACATCACTCATAGGCCATCTCCGTCAGAATTACCAGAGGGTACTTACTTTGAAATACGTATTCATGGACCTTACCTCAGATGTACTGAATTAGGGTCTCTGCAGATGGGGTCTGGAGCAAGGGACACTTCAAACAGCTTCCCCAGTGGATACTTACGTAAAACAGAGTGTGCTTTACTAGAGTCATGGGAAGGGGAATTACTATTTTTTCCTAAGTATTTACTAGTAATTCAGCCCTGCACCAAGTAGTTATAGTTACTTCTTGCATCAGATATTTTTGAACACGTGATTTATCCAACACACTTCCACTTCCTGCGAAGAACATCTGTATTGGGAAAATTATATCAGAATCCCCAAATGTCACAGTATACTTAGTTACGAGAGAGTCTTCTCAAAGTATAAAGAATGTGCCCAAACTGCACAGAGCACTGGGGAAGATCCAAGGCCTTCCTATATTGGACTCAAATCTGGGTTAGAGTAATGATCAATCCGACAGTAACTATGATAATTTGAATACCAAAAAGTGGCTGATAAAACATCTGTAACTTTTTTTTTTTGAAGATTTTATTTATTTATTTGACGGAGAGAGACACAGCGAGAGAGGGAACATAAGCAGGGGGAGTGGGAGAGGGAGAGGCAGGCTTCTCGCTGAGCAGGGAGCCCAACACCAGACTAGATCCCAGGATCCTGGGATCACGACCCAAGCCAAAGGCAGATGCTTAACGATGGAGCCACCCAGGCAGCCACAAACATCTGTAACTTGTTAAAAGAAATAAGTAATTCAAGTAGTTTTAAGCTTTAAAGGTATATGAGTCTATGACAGAACTAGGTGATCATTTTAAAATGTATTCCATAAATAAAGTCATTTAAGATACCATTCCTTTCCCTTAAGGAGTTTATCATCTTTAAAGTTTTGTTTTACAGGGCGCCTGGGTGGCTCAGCGGGTTAAGCCTCTGCCTTTGGCTGAGGTCATGATCTCAGGGTCCTGGGATCGAGCCCCGAATTGGGCTCTCTGCTCAGCAGGAAGCCTTCTTCCCCCTCACTCTCTCTGCCTGCTTCTCTGCCTCTTATGATCTCTCTCCCTGTCAAATAAATAAATAAAATCTTTAAAAAAAAAAAAAAAAAAGCAAGTTTTACAAGTCATATCGGGGCACCTGGGTGGTACAGTCAGTTAAGCATCCAACTCTTAGTTTTGGCTCAGGTTGTGATCGTGGGGTGGTGAGCTGGAGCCCAGCCTCGGGGAGCGAGGAGTCTGCTTGAGACTCAACTCTTCCTCTGCCCTTACTCACCCTAACGCACGTGCTCTCTCACTCTCTCAAATAACAAATCTTTTTTCTTTAAGTTTATTTTATGGGCGCCTGGGTGGCTCAGTCGTTAAGCATCTGCCTTCACTCAGGTCATGATCCCAGGGACCTGGGATCAAGCCCTGCTTCGGGCTCCCAGCTTGGTGGGGAGCCTGCTGCTTCTCCCTTTCTCACTGCTGCTCTACCTGCTCATGCTCTCTCACTCTCTCTGTCAAATAAATAAATAAAATCTTTTTTTTTTTTAAAGTTTATTTTATGAGTTACATATATATTGTGTGTGTGTGTGTGTGTGTGTATATAAAAACAAGTTATGCCCTGACATATGTGATGCCCAGTAACCTGGGGAGCTGTTTAAAACTCAGATATATGATCCCCATTTTCTGTAGACTGATTCAGAAGTTTATGTACAGCCCAAGCATTTGCTTCCAATAGGAAATCAGGACTGAGAAACACTGGTATATATAGTAAGGAATGTAAAGGTGTAATACTGACTTTTTAAAGGATTATCATCCAAAATGTATTAAAATAAAATAAAATTTGTGCTTAAGAAGGGTTAAGTCATCAGCTTTTCAGGAATTTTGTGTATCTGGGATGGTCAGTTCACCATACTTTGGAGGTAAGTAGGACCTTTTTAGAGATGGATACAAGAGATACTTTGTATGTACTGCAGAACCCTCAGTTAGAATATGTACAGTATTTACCCTGTGACCTCAGCTGTCCAGTCCTAAGATTTTGTTTTTTTAAAAAAATACTCAGTATTACAAAAAATCTGTGGCACTGTGGCCCATTCATTAATGCAACCAGTACTTCTAGGGATCTGCTGTACAGCAGGCATTAGAACTGGACGTCCGTGAGTGTGTACTAGGCATGCCATCTTAGAGTTTTTATTTCATCATGGAGACAGGTTATTTAATAAGCATTATTAAAGAAACATATTGTGCTTCCTTCATATCTTAAAGTATCAGAATTTCCAGATTGAAAAACATCTTCCTGCCCCACAGTGATGTGCCATGGAAGTAATCTGGGGAAAAAAAACTCAAGGACCCAGGTTTTTTGATAGATTCACAGTAAAATCCAAGGTTTGTTTTGTTTGAAGAGAGAGGGATGATTTTCATAATAGACCTAATATATCTCCTCTCTTTCTAAAAGACCTTTTTTCAGTTTCCCGCTTCAGGGCTCTGATAATCTTTCAAAAGAGAAATGCCTCACACTATTCCTAGTTTGAGTTGAAAGCCAGCAAGCTGTGATTTTAGGTTCATGTCTTTTTTGACCCATTATGGCAAAAATAGACTTCTTATCTCCCCTCAGGCCTCCCCTTCTTTCAACCTTTTTCTACAATTTTGGAAAGTATGCTGCTGCTTCTTAGGACTATGATAGTACAATAGCATTTTACAGCATTACCAAAATCCTTCAAATACATGAGGATATTTAAAATTCAAGGGCACCTGAGTGGCTCAGTCATTAAGCGTCTGCCTTCGGCTCAGTTGCGATCCCGGGTTTCTGGGATCGAGCCCCGCATGGCATCAGGCTCCCTGCTCATCAGGGAGCCTGCTTCCACCTCTCCCTCTGCTGCTTCCCCCACTTGTTCTCTCTCTCTCTCTCTCTGTCAAATAAATAAGTAAAATCTTTTAAAAAATAAAAAATTTACTGCAGTTCTACAGCGTGAACATTTTCACTAAGTCCCATTTTATGGAAGACAAAATTGAACTTTGGGAAGGTCCTGTGCCTTATCCAAGATCACAGAAGTCAAGAAATGGCAGAAGTGGAACTTAACCACAGCATTTAACTGGGCACATCCCCTGTATCTTAAACACATACACCTCAGCCATTATGTAATCCCACTGCACTTCCACAGTGCTTCCCAAAGTTCTTATTTTATCCATTCATTTAATAATATTTTTAGTCATATCTTAAATTTACCTCTCAGTTTAATAAGTAAAAATTTTGCTACTGTGTAAATGCCCTCCCTAAATTCCCTATTTTATTTTTTTTTTTAAGAAAAGATTTTATTTATTTGTCAGAGAGAGCAAGCACAAGCAGGGGGAGGGGCAGGCAGAGGGGGAAGCAGACTCCCCACTGAGTAGGGAGCCCAATGCGGGACTCGATCCCAGGACCCTGAGATCATGACCTGAGCCAAAGGCAGATGTTTAACCTACTGAGCCACCCAGGCATCCCTAAATTCCCTATTTTAAACACATTGCCCCATTCAAATTAATTGTATAAATTACTACAACCCTATTTTCTTTTTTCTTTCTTCCTGTGACTCTTTTTGTGTATCCTCTCAATGGCTGGAACAATAGTCAGAAATTGGAAAACTTTCTTTTTTACTGTCAGGTTGTCTCTCAGGAACTCAAAAGTGAGCCTTTTAAATGATACACTTAATCACTGTTCCTGTAATTGAAAGATTCTACTTCCAGACACCAGCAGGAAGTGAATACATGTGCTAGATCCTTTCCGGCACCTTCAAGTCATGAAGAAAGTGCTACTCCTCTTTAATAAGAAATGTTCTGTCAGCTGCTTTTGAAATGTTCAGTTTGTTTTCAGTTTACTGATTTGGGGCCTTAAACAATGCCGTTAGAATAATTTTCTTGGCAACGTGAGCAACACTTGGTGTGAGTCTGTCACCTTTCATACTTCTGACATCTTGGGCTGTCAGTCATGCTGGTTGCATGGTTGATTGTGAGACTGTCAGCAAGCCAAGATTTTTTGTTTTTTGTTTTTTGGTTTTTTTTTGTTTAAGATTTTATTTATTTGTCAGAGAGAGAGCAAGCACAAGCAGGGGGAGTGCCAGGCAGAGGGAGAAGCAGGCTCCTTGGGATCATGACCTGAGCTGAAGACAAATGCTTAACCTACTGAGCCACCCAGGTGTCTCTATTTTTTTCTGTGGGGTGGTTTTTTTGTTTGTTTGTTTGTTTGTTTATTGGGGGGGGGTTTTGTATTTTGTTTATTTGTTTTTTATGAAAATCATTAACAGTCTCCTGCTTGGCTAGCAAATATATTTGCTTTGAATTTCATTCTTGCCATGTTTGGCAGTGAACGTGCTAGTAAAGTTTTTCTGACAATCTGTGTATATATATATATATGGAACACTTTTTCTTAATAATTCGATGAAGATAATGGTATTTTTTTCAGAGCTATGTCTTGCCAAGCCCAGTTTGCTTTGAAAGAATGTTGCCATCTCTTCTCTGATGTAAAACTTCTTCTTAATTCTATCTATTTTTTTATTTTTATTTTTTTAGGTACCACTGTGGCACTCCTTGTTCTTGCTCTGGGATTTCTGCTGTCTGCGCAGGTTTCCCCACGCATCACTCTTAAACCAGTCGTTCCATCCGGACAGAACAGTACTTGTACAAGATACAGGTGAGATTTTGTAATGGTCCCCTGCCTTCACCAACTCTGGTAACTTTTTTGTTTGCTTTTAACTTTTTTAAAATTTGAAAGTTGAGTAGGAGCTTGTTTATGAAGGAAGATAAGATGACAGGAAAGGTGGTGGGAGGAACCACCAAGAGGAGGAACAGCATGTGCAAAGACACGAGGATAAAAGTGCTTAAGGAAAAGTATTAGACACAAAATTGACATGTTTCTGGAAATTCAGAGTTGGGATCGATATGGAATTGGAGCAGGAGTACTGTGAAACTATTTTAGATCATATGTGTATGACTCAGTGGCATCTGCATTCCAGGTAAAATAACTAACTTCAATCAGTAATTAAACCTTTCCATGATATACATGTCTGACAGAGGAGATTATCATCTTTGTATTCTAACAGTCTTCCCAGAGTTCTGCAAGTATCCTCTCATTCATGTAAGCCGAAAAGGAAGTTTTCTTTCACTGCTGGGGTTCTTCTAGAGCATTAAAGAGTGGAAAGAGATGGTGGAGGAGAGTGAAATACATTCTGATGCCGGTTACAGGTGTAGGAACTCGAGTCTGATGGTGTACACACTGTGTGATTAGATGGTTGGAGAAGTGGATGGATGGACAGGCAGATGGACTAAAGAATGCACAAAGGAATTACTTAGAGATTGAATGAACAGACCAATTAATGTATCTGGCAGCAGAGTTTCAAAGGTTATAACTTCATTTTAGTGGTTTAAAAGGCTACCAGCCCCTTTAAAATACATGGATAGAACAAGCCTAGCTTGCTTGCTTGCCTGCTTGCTTGCTTGCTTTAGAGTGAGCAAGCACACGAACATGCAGGGGTCAGGAAGGGGCAGAGGGAGAGAGAGAATCTTAAGCAGGCTCCAGACACCCAGTGTGGAGCCTATCACAAGGGCTCGATCTCATGACCCTGAGATCATAAACTGAGTTGAAATCAAAAGTCAGACACTTACCTGACTAAGCCACCCAGGTGCCCCAAGACCTAGTATTTAAAAACAAAAAATGATAGTCCTTCAGCCTCAACTAGATGGACACAAGTCTCAAGGAAATTGGTAAATGATTTATTAATTTATCAACTTTTAGTCATATACTCCTATATGAAATTAAAACAACACATTGATACACTAGATTCCACTTGGAACTTCATATTGAGTGGTTATTGTATTTATGGTGGTTTCTCATTATAGCAATGAAAGGATATATATTATTATGCCTTTCAGGTCCCAAATTCTGATACCTACTTTCCTTTAGAAGTAAATGGTTCTACTCCTTCTTTCTCTTACTAATAAATTTACTTATATATTGGTCTACTGAATTTTTAAGTCCTTATCTTGTTCTGAAGAAGACTTAAAGATGTCTTGATGAAAGAAGTTAGCTTTAGAATAGACTATTCCTAGATACAGTCACGTTTACTTTCTATGAATAACCCACATCAGCTGCGAGGTGATAGAGCCATTACCAGAATTCTCCATGCTCTGTTTTTGTTTTTTCTTCATAGATATTTTAAGTAAAATGTTTTTAACATAGTTAGTCCTGACAAATTATTTAAAATATTACTGTTGTTGGGGCGCCAGGGTGGCTCAATCGGTCAAGTGTCTGCCTTCAGCTCAGGTCATGATCCCAGGGTCCTGGGATCTCCCTCTGCCTGCTCTGCCTGCCATTCCCCCTGCTCGTGCTCATTCTCTCTGTCTCTGACAAATAAATAAATAAAATCTTTTTAAAAAAATTACTGTTTGAGCAACAACTTTAATACGTGATGCCTGGTTTAGATGGAGTAATTTAGATTCAGAATAAGACGGATACACACATGGTCAGAGCACCTAAAGGCAGAAAGTTAGCCAGAGTATGAAAGAAGTTTTATGAACTTCTGATACAGGAAAAGAATGACAAACTTTTGAATGATTAGCATAATAAAGTAGTTTTCTTGACATCAACTTTTAAAATATAAATAAAATATTTATTGCCCTAGTAGAGTTTGCATAGCAATTTGTGATTATCAACCTATTAATCCTTCTGATCCTTCGAGGTTGTCATCTACCTAATATTTCAGTACTAGAGTATAGTGGAGGAGGAGAAGTGGTACAGCAGAATTTTACTCTCATCACAAAAATGGGCAGCAGCTTTTGAATCAGAACCAAATTTTACATGTCCTTTGGGAGTCAGTGAATATGAAAAACAGTTCTACATTTTGTGCCTTCTTTCAGAGGAACGCATCAGGCCTTGTGGGAATTTGGTAGTATGTACATATATTCTGAGTGATTTTATAAAAGGCCTGCATTCCCCATACTGATTTTATTCTAGTCTCCTGATTGTCTTCTTGTTTTTGTTAAAATTATGTATACGCTTTCCCCTTTCTCTAGGATAAACATGAAAGTCATGTTTGCAATACACCATAGGATGAGTAATGTTTAGGCTATAAATGTAGATACTGTGCTTTCCTCATGGAATGATCCATATAGGAAAATTGAGCAAATAAAACAGATTTAAAAGGGAAATTGATTTAATATCTATCTTAAAAATGTTGTATACTGTTGATGAGATTGTAAATTTCTCTCCATTTTGGAAGGAGTACTTTTCTGCCTAGTAAGAGTTAAATGCCTATGCCCACTGACTCAGCACTTCCATTTGTAGAAATCTATAGACTGTAGTGATGCATATGGATTCATTCCAATTATAGTCAAATATTCTTTGTCCGATTAAACGTGGTTTCATATGAGAGCTTTCAAAGCTTTGAAGATTCGTACCTTTCCTAAGTAACACTTCCCTCAGATTTTTGACATTTTATTATTTTTGAATGTGATCTCAGTATATGCAAATCACTGTCATAAAACCCTTCAAAGTAGGCAGATACTTCCTAAAATATATGTGAAATTTCAGGGTTTTAATCTCATCTCATTCCTTCATTCATGTGTTCATGCATGTAGTTAGAAATATTTATGGAACACCTACTTATAGGATTATAGTTAAGGATAAATTAATATAAGAAAACAGTGCCTCACACATAATAAGCATTCAGTAAATATTGCAGCTATTGTTATACTTAAGAAAGCTTATAATAGGGGGCGCCTGGGTGGCTCAGTTGGTTAAGCGACTGCCTTCGGCTCAGGTCATGATCCTGGAGTCCTGGGACAGAGTCCCACATCCGACTGCCTGCTCGGCGGGGAGTCTGCTTCTCCCACTGACCTCTCTCCTCTCATGCTGTCCCTCTCATTCTCTCTCTCTCAAATAAATCTTAAAAAAAAAAAAAAAAGAAAGAAAGCTTATAATAGGAGATGAGCTTGGGATGATGGGTAGTCTGTCAGAGAAGATTACCCTGAGCACTGGATATTTGAACTGAACTCTGAAAGGAAGAGAGGAGCATGCCAGGCAGAAGAAACAGCAGATGTGAAGGCCTTGCAAGGCACAGGGAACTTGGCAAGTGCAAGGAACTGAAAGGATGCTACTGCAATTAAAGAAGCCTAAGAAAACACTGGTAAGGTAGGTGGAGCCAGATTCATGCAGGACCTCAGAGGTCACATGAAAAATTCTGATCTTCAGTCTACATTATGAACCCATTGAGAAGTTTTAAGTAGGGTAATGGCTTGACCAGATTTTCTCGTCTAAAGTTTCTCTCTGGGCGTGGGATGCACAGAGGGCAGATGCTAATGTAAGCAGACTGGTTATTAGAGTTCTCCTTGAGAGAGATAATTGCCTGGACTGTGGTGGTAAAATCGAAAGTAAACAGGTAGACACATTCTAAATATGTTCAGGAGAGAAAAATCAATGGGGATTAAAAATAAGTAACTATTAATTATGAGCAACCAGGCAGAAGAGATCATGAAAATGAAATGCCATTATTGGGTGAGGCAATTATTATATTTTAGTAGGAATTGACAAAAGGGACTGTGTCTCTAATTCATTTTTATTTTCCCTGTTAAAATTTCTCCATTGAGAGTCTTACTTAGAGTCATCTAAGGAAGCGTTTAAAGCCACCCCCATCCCTCATTCCCATGGATCTGCCTTAGCAGAACAGTGGAGGGTATGTTTGAAATACTCCCTCGGGTAATTCCAGTACAGCTTCTGTTAAGAACCACATACCATAATGCTTCCTTTTTTTTTTTTTTTTTTAACTGCCAGCTTCCTTTCATTCCTTCTTCTTTTTTCCCTGGAATGTTGTTAAAGCAAGAATGCAAAAATAATCAGTGTGGTTCTTTATCTGTTGAGTAATATTTTCATGTTTTCCTCTCCAGATGAAGTTTACAAGCATTGAAATGTCCAAACCGTTGCTTCATTATAGACCTCCCTATGGTGATAATATAAGTTTTGAGAAACCGTAGATGCCTAACTAATTAGCTCCTCAAAGTTTAGTTACAGTAGAAGTATTTTTGCAATCACTGTACTTTCCTTGTCCTTTTGCCACCCTTGTGTGATCTAGCACACATTGTTGGCATGTTAGATTCAGTTATAAAACTTAGAAACTCTGTTAGGCCCTAATTTTTTTTTCTAGTATTTGGCATCCTAATGATGACGTGTTCTGTATCCAGTAATTCTTAGCAACTTGTCGGTGAATATAGTATTATACTATGAACTGCAACTTTCCGTTTCTGTCAAATTTTGTCTTCTGTCTAGTTATTTCCATTAAAATTAAATTATTTTAATTTTTTTGGCCTGGTTGTATAGGCTAATATGCTTTGAGGTTACAGAGTAAAATATGTTACGTATCTGTAACATATGTAGGAGGTTTTCTGTAAATTTGTAAATATGTATGAGGTTACAGAGGAAAATAGACCTACTTCAGATGAAGATAAATGTACACAAAGGGAAAATGAGAGTTGAAACAAAAAGCCCGTCTGACGTCATCATGTACCCTTATCTCCAAATAGTTATGCATGTCTTTTGCTAGCATTTAAATACCCAGCCCTGAGTTTGATGCCTGGATGAGAGAATTGTGGAAGAGATTCTTGGAGGAAGTTGGCCATTTATGGGACATTTTTATTTCTTTT